GCGCATAGGAATAAAGTGCGCCGACTTAGTCAACCGGTCTACAACCACCCAAATCGCATCACTACCCCGCTGAGTCTTCGGAAGACCCACAATGAAGTCCATAGTGACGTGTTCCCACTTCCATTCGGCAATAGGCAAGGGTTGCAACAAACCCGCTGGCCTCTGATGTTCGGCCTTTACTTGCTGACAAGTAAGACACTTAGATACAAAAGCTGCCACATCTCTCGTCATACCCCGCCACCAAAACTGGCAACCCAAATCTCGATACATCTTAGTGCCTCCCGGATGCACCGCAAGGCGTGAATGATGAAACTCTCGGAGTACCTCCTCTCGGCAAGACTCCGGCACAAACAGACGGTCTCGGTATCTCATACTCAGGTCGGAAAACATCGTCAAACCCTTCTCAACCTTCCCATCGGAAATCTTCTCACGGAGAGATTCTACCTCAAGGTCACCTCTCTGAGCCTCTAACACTCGAATCACAAGTGTAGGCTGTGCAACAACAAAAAACAAGGCCGTAGCCTCAACGGATTCGCCCAGAAGTAAATCAAACTCCCCAAGTGCACCCAACATCTCCCATTCTCGGATGGCTATACTAGCTATGTCACCAACAGGTTTCCTGCTAAGGGCATCGGCCACCACATTGGCCTTTCCCGGATGATAATACAACTCAAAGTCATAATCCTCTATGAACTCCATCCACCTCCTCTGCCTCAAGTTCAACAGACTCTTATGATCCGAGAATACCTCAAATTTCTCACCATAAAGATAATGCCTCCAAATCTTCAAGGCAAATATCACAGCTGCTAACTCTAGATCATGCATACTAAATTAGTTAATTTGTTAATTAATTAATTTGTAATATTTAATTAGCTTGAAGTCGATCTAGAAAAGCTACCCTGAGACTGCTGGGGATTAAAACCCTTCTGTCTCCTACCATCACTCTGACCATCCTGACTCCTCTTGGAGCCCTTCTGTCCTTCCTCCTCCTCCTGCATCATGATCTCCATATGGGCTGCAGCATCAACCATACGCCTACTGGAGCGGTGGTCAGTCTAACTTTCAACTCCTGGAACGACTTTTCACAAGTCTCACTCCATACAAATTTGACTCCCTTTCGAGTCAATCTAGTCAAAGTCGACGCTAATCTGGAGAAATCTTTCACAAACCGGCGATAATACCCAGCTAACCCCAGAAAACTGCGGATCTCAAACACACTCTTAGGCTGTGCCCAATCTTGCACTGCCTCAGTCTTGGATGTATCAACAGACACTCCTTCCCCAGAAACGACATGGCCTAAGAACTTGGCCTTTTCTAGCCAAAACTCACACTTCCCAAACTTGGCATAAAGCTTATGGGCTCTAAGTAACTCAAGCACCACTCTCAAGTGTTCCTCGTGCTTCTCCTCAGAAGGTGAATAGATAAGGATGTCGTCCACGAAAACGACTACAAAACGATCTAAAAATTCCCGGAATATCTGGTTCATCAAATCCATAAAAACTGCCGGTGCATTGGTGAGCCCAAATGGCATCACCAGAAACTCATAGTGGCCATACCGCGTACGGAATGCCGTCTTCGGAATATCCTCATCCCTGACTCTCAACTGATGATAACCCGATCTCAAGTCTATATATAAATCAAGTGAAAGAGGCAGCAGGCTTGAATGAATTGCAATCCACATTGAAATCGTGGGGAATTTTAGTTGGAAAAGTCAATAAATGAATTACAATCTATTCCAGTCAATAAATGTATTTCTTCTGTGAGCAATTTTAGTTGGAAAAGTCAACCACATTCTTTTTCTTTCTTTTATTTTCTTCCCCCTCTCTCTTTTCCAAATACAAAAAAGGGGGCATTGTCCAAGGCCCATCTCAGTTGCAGGTCTGTAAATAACCAATATGACACTATAATATTTAAACTTAGTTCATCTAGATTACAATATGGAACAACTGTGGAGTTATTGGTAGGACGGTATATAAATGCATATATGCACATATATATATAGAGTATACATGTCAAGAGACAATTTTTTTGGGGACTACCCATCCCCGACCCATTCCCCGATGGAGAATTAAATTAGATCACCTACTGACCTGATGCATAGAGAAATTGGGAAAACCCACATATTTTGGGTAGGGTCTCCATGGATAACCATTGGGTATGGTTTTTATTGCCATCCCTAGCCAAAGGAAAATGGGATTCTATGATAATCAACCTCTATATCACAACCCCTAACACCTTGTTTCAAGATCAATTCACCCCCAAGAGGTGACCCTACACAGATAGGAGATGTTAACTGTGCTAACTCCAACTCCAAAACAGATGCAAATGCAGCAGACACAAAGGAATGAGATGCACCCGTATCGGTCAAAACATTAGCAACCGAGTTGCAAAACAAAAAGGTACCTCTCACAACTGATGGTGCCGGCACAAGATCCTGCGCGGTAACAGCATACACGCGCCCAGATGACCTCTGATCAACCTGCTTAACCCTAGGTGCATAAGATTGCTGCACTGACTGGGACGATGAAGCCCCCTGATTGGCCCTCGAGGCCTGACCTGACTGAGCTGGCTGCTGACCCTGAATCGGCCTCAAACCAGATGCACCAGGTGTGCCACCCAACTGCGGGCAATACCTCTTCATATGCCCTGGCTGACCACACTGATAACACGAGAGTGGCTGGCCTCTACCCTGACTCTGGCTCTGAGATCGAGCCGAAGAAGATGCTGCTCTCTGAACTCCTCCCCTCTGAGGACAAACTGGAGACTTGTGACCCAGCTGGCCACACTTGAAGCAGGTAATGTCACCCTGACTGCCTTTCCCCGAACTAGCACTCGGCACAGGAAAAGTCGATCTAGAAAAGCTACCCTGAGACTGCTGAGGATTAAAACCCTTCTGTCTCCTACCATCACTCTGACTATCCTGACTCCTATTGGAGCCCTTCTGTCCTTCCTCCTCCTCCTGCATCATGATCTCCATATGGGCTGCAGCATCAACCATACGCCCATAATCCCGAATCATAGTTCCCCCAACTCTCAGCTTGAGGCCACGCCTCAACTTCTTCTCAAACTCGATACAACGGCGTTCCTCAGACGCCACCAACTCAGGTGCAAACCTGGACAAGCTAGTAAATGCAGCCTCAAACTCGGCCACTGAAGAACTCGACTGTTTAAGCTGGTAGAACTGGTCTCTCAGCTTCTCCCTAACTGCTGGAGATAAAAACTTCTCCTGGAAAGCATTCACAAAAGCTTCCCATGTACCTCCTATACGACCCTTAGTAAACTTCCACCACTGACCCGCATCCCCCTTCAACTGGAAAGATGCCAAGGTCACTCTCAACCCCTCGTCTTCAATGCCAAGCATCTCAAACGTCTTCGTTGTCTATTCGAGCCATTCATGATTGGTGTTGTATATGTTATGTGTTTGCATTTACATTGTTTTGTGTGCGGAGGAGATAGGGATGTACTCCACGGTTCAGGGGAAAAGTAGGGGGATGGACCTCTAAACCGGATTTTGTTTTGGGCGAGGATTTGCATAGAGGGAGGACTCCTTTTATTAGCATCCACTTTTATGTCTGTGCTTGATCTATACTTGAAGTGTTTTATTGATACAGCACTTACAAATGTTGTATCAACACTGGGAAGTTATGAAGTGTTCTTGATTCTGAGCTTGAGTCTCATTTGTTTCGTTGATATTGGAAGAATGTGAATCTTGATACTATTATATGGTGCACTGTTGTAAGTTTGGCCAGTTCTGAGCCATATTGATAATGTTAGAAAAAGTAAACGTTATCTTAGACATTTAATAATCATTGAAACTGTATTAGAAGATATAATTGATATCTTGCGTTAACCAATTAAAATATTGAATGTATTGCTTATTCAATGCCTATATTTGGTTAGTATACTTTTCTGCTGGCTTGTGGCTCTACCCTTTATGGGAAACATCATTTTCAGGTTCAGGTGATAAGCTACCTCCAAGGACTTAGCTTGGGAAGGGTTTGGCTTCTGGATTTTTGAAGAAGATTTCTGTTAGTTAATTGTCTTGTATTATTAGTACATGTAACATTCGAAGCCTAGGCTTTTCTAGTATTGAGTTTTAGGAACTCATATTATTGTACCAGTGTTGGCTCTGGAAAGATGTAAGCCTGTTGGGCAAATTTAGTTCGATGTTACCATGTTAATGTCTTTTACTTAGCTAATACTCTGAGAATGAATTAAAAAATTTTCATAAATTAATGCATTCAATGACTATATATAATGGTTTATTTTGA